TTTTTTTTCCTGCTAACCTCTTAACATGAGCAATCCCATCTGTTTTTGCTGATTGTGAAAAATATTTAAAAAAATATTTACTTCACATTATGTTTCATAATGGAGGTTTTTTTGTTTTTGTTTTTGTTTTTTTTTTTATTGTTTTGTTTTCTTCTTTTGTTTTTGAGGTTTAACTCTTAGTTGATACTTATATACCCTACTGAATAAAGGCTAACCCATTCTTAGGACACTGACTAGGGGAGAAAGGCAATTTAACATTTGCTGATGGCAGAACAAAATTTCAAATAAAAATCCTACTTAAAAAACCCCCACAATTTTCTCTATTACTTTTCTAAGTTGGATTCAAATATCCATGGGTGAGGGGCATGCTTTGTTAAATGAAATGGTAAACCTGAAACTTTTAGCAAGTTATGAAAACAGTTATTTGGGTAGGAACTTAAAGAGTCAAACTTGAAGTCTCATTCATCTAATTATCAACATATAAGAGGATTCCTGTTGCTTCTACAAACAAACAACTCCTCATATTTTCTAACCATTTGTTTAGTCAGAAAATAGTTTTTAAAGTGAGCCTTTCGTGAATGGTTGTTTATTTAGTTTTTCTCATGCACTTCAGAAAAAATAAACACACAGGTGATAATTTGGTCAAGTAAATTGTTTTTGCAAATGGCTATCAAGGTAAAAGCAAATACATATTACATATATGAGGGAGCATAGACATGTTTGTGGAAAAAAGAAAATTAAAAGGTAACAGTATTTTTCAATTTTTTGAAATCCCTATATATATGTAATACATGTTTTCCGTAAATACATATTATACATATGTGGGCTCTTGGTGTGTTGTTGTAGAATCAGCACTGGATTCCAAGCCTCAAGGTCAATAATTTAATCCTACCAGCTACTTCTCAGAAACTCTATATATGGTCCCGTTGTGGCACTGAGGAATAAAGCACTGGACCATAAGGTCAAATTGAACCAGAGGTCAGTGGTTCAAACTTGCCAATTGTTCCTTGGAAATCCTATACAGGGTCACTATGA